CTGCATCTTCATAGTGGGTGTCGGTTTGCTTCATGTATGGCTCAGAGGGGTTTGAAGTGGGTAGTGATGCAGCTGCAGTGCAGCTTCTGGTCCATGGTCGTGTCTCATTTTCTGAATGGGTGGGAGTCTGTTTTCTATATGGAAGTGTGGTGGTGGTATCTTGTGTGTCTCTCATGGGTGTGGGTCTGGTGTCCTTCTTCATGTTAGGTACTCGTCTGTTCATGAGGGCAGGTTTCCAAATGTCTGGAAGGCGGGAGGTGTCATCTCGTTTGTTCATGCTGTGTGGGCGTTTTTCTATCTCTATGGCTTCTCTGATTATTCTGCTGTTGAAGTGTTCGGTTTTGGCGATGGTTCTGGTATTTTTAAAATCAATTTCATGTCCTGTGGCTTTGAGGTGTTGGACCAGGGAAGAGGTCGTTTCTTCTTTTTTGATTGAGTTCTTATGTTCTTCAATGCGTGCACTTATTCTTCTGTTAGTTTGTCCAATGTATGTGGTGGGGCAGGCAGTGCAGGGGATTTCGTATACTCCTTGGTTTTCTAATTCGATTTTGTCTTTGGGGTTTCTTAGTATGGTGGATATTTTTCTGTTTGTGCAGAATGCTGTTTTGATGTTGTGTTTTTGGAGGATCTTGCTAATTTTGTCTGTAGTGCCTTTTATATATGGGAGGAGGGCTTTGCCGTTTTCTTGTTCTCTGTCTTGGATTTTGGTTGGGGTTTCTTTTTGGATTAGGTGGGTAATCTTCTTTCTTTGGAATCCATTGGCTGTAAGTACGTTGGTGAGAGTGTGTAGTTCGGTTTTTTGGTGTTGTTCATCGGCTAAGCATTTTGTTCTGGAGATGAGTGTCTTGGCTACGGAATTGATCTGTGCTGGGTGGTGGTGTGAGAGTGCATGTAGATAGCGGTTAGTATGTGTTTTCTTCTGGTAGATGGTGTGTCCTAGGGAGCCATTGGATCTTTTGTATACCAAGACATCTAGGAAGGGAAGTTGATTGTTGGCTTCTGTTTCCATGGTGAATTGTATTTTGGGGTGTAGGCTGTTGAGGTATGTGAGGAAGTTGTTCAGTTTTTCTTTCCCGTGTGGCCAGATTATGAAGGTGTCATCTACGTATCTGAGCCAGAGTTTGGGTTTGTGGTCGTATTTTTCTAGAGCTTGTGTTTCAAAGTGTTCCATGTAGAGGTTAGCGATGACAGGTGAGAGGGGTGATCCCATGGGTGCTCCTTCTATTTGTTTGTATTTTTGTCCATTGTAGGTGAAGTATGTATTGGATAGGCAGTGGTTGGTTAGATCTAGGATGTGCTTGGGGGGGTTGTATTTGTTTTGGATGGCTGTCAAGGCTTCTTTTATTGGCACTTGGGTGAAGAGGGATATGACATCGAAGCTTACTAGTAGGTCGCTAGGTTGTAAGTTTTGTTTCTTTATGATCTCGATGAACTGGAATGAGTTTCTTACGTGTGAGTTGATGGATTCTGCATAGGGTTGTAGTTGTTTGGCGAGGAATTTGGCCAGGTTTTGTAGAGGTGAGCCTATGGAGCTGACTATTGGTCTGAGTGGGGTTCCTTCTTTGTGTATTTTGGGGAGACCATAAAGCTTGGGGCATCTGGATGATTTTTCTCTGGGTATGATTCCTTGCTGGATTTCTTCACTGATGGGGGAGGCTTTTATTTTGGATTTGGTAGTTTTTTCTAGGTAGGTGGTGGGGTCTGTCTTTAGGGGTTTGTATGTGGGGTCTTGGAGTAGGTTGGTTAGCTTGGTTTGGTAGTCAGATGTGTTCATAACCACTGTCGTGTTGCCCTTGTCTGCTGGTAGGATTATTATGCTGGTGTCTTCTTTCAGGTTAAGTAGTGCAGTTTGTTCTTCTTTGGATAAGTTGCTTTTGGGTGGTTTGCTAGTGCAGAGGATGTTGGTGATTTCGAGTCTGATTTTGTTAGCATCATCAGGGTTGGTTTTGGTCAGGCTGGTTTCAACTCCGCATATGATGGTTTCTGTGGGGATGTGTTTGGGAGCGACAGCAAAGTTGAATCCTTTTGAAAGGACCTTGGTTTCAGCTTCAGTGAGGATCTTGTCTGAGATGTTGTGCAATGTTTGTTTCATGTGTGGCTGTGGGGGAGGGGGAGTTGGTTTCTGGCATTGTTGTAGTTTCCTGAGTTTGTTGGTGTGTGTGTCTGTCTTTAGGGTGGTCTGTGTTTCGGCTCTCCAGACAGCGAGTTGTTTGGATTTGTCCCAAAGTAGAGGGTGAATCTTGTTGCTGAGTCTGAGGTGGAGTGTGAGGAGATCTTTGTTGATTTGGTCTAGGAGAAACCTTTTTGTGTGAAGTTCATTTCTAATTAGGGCCAGTTCTGCTCAAATCCCCCAGCAACTAAAACTAACCTGAGCACAACCAAGCCCCCACCTGAACAGAACACGCCTCCAACCAATCAGAACACGGCTAACCCCCCAACCAATCAGAACACAGCCAAACCCCCTACCAATGAGAACACAGCCAAGCCCCCACCCAATCAAGTCCCACCCCCACTGGCAGTTAAAAGGAGGAAGCAGCTGCAATCTCACATTACTCTGAGAAGCACAGAGCCGGAGACAAAAGCCTGAAGATGATGAATGAGACTTCATCGAAACGTTGCCTAGATACTTCGAATCTTACGCGGGAGAAAACCCGAACAACCAAAGATCCATATATATATATATATATATATATATGTGTGTGTGTGTGTGTGTGTGTGTGTGTGTGTAAATAAATCACACATTCCATTCCAATTCAATTCTATCATTAATATTCATTAAAATCTTAACATCTTTAACATTTCTTTTCAATTAAATATCATACTTCCATGGGAACACTTATAAACTTTCCATTATTAATTCTTTTTTCCCCATATTTCTCACTTATATTTTTATAAATCATTAATAATAATTAAAATGTTCCCATTCTTTCCTAATTTAATTATCTCATTCACTTTAATTCATTTATTTATTAATAAACATTCCACTACATTACAGTGAATATTTTATCCATAATTTTAGTCATATTTTCTAAAATTATTTCTATTTGTAATATAACAATGCTATCTTACATATTTTGCAGAATCCCTTTTACAATTAAATTTTGACCCGTGATCACTTTTTGTGACCTTCTGACAAGCAAAGTCAATGGGGTAGCCAGATTCACTTTACAACCATGTTACTAACGTAACAACTGCAGTGATTTTGTTAACCACTTTGGCAAGAAAAATTGTAAAATGGGGCACAACTCAACTGTCTTGCTTAGCAATGGAAATGTTGGGTTCCGTTGTGGTAATTAATCGAGGACTACCTTAGATAACAGATAATCAGAGTTGGAAGGGACCTTGTAGGTCATCTAGTCCAACCCCCCACCCTACACCCTTTCTGACAAATGGCAGTCCAGTCCCTTCTTGAAAGTCTCAAGTGATGATGCTCCCACAACTTCTGAGGGCAAAGCTGTTCCATTGGTTGATTGTTCTCACTGTCAGAAAGTTTCCCCTTATTTCCAGGTTAAATCTCCTTGTTCAGTTTCCATCCATTATTCTTTGTCTGGCCTTCGGGTGCTTTAGAAAATAGCTTGACCCCTTCCTCTCTTTTTTATAGAGTGGTGACCAAAACTGGATGCAGTACCCTAGGTGTGGTCTTACTAAGGCCTTACAGAGTGGTATTAGTACCTAACTTGATCTTGATTGTATCCTTCTGTTAATGCAATTTAGGATTGCATTGGCTTTTTTGGCTTCTGCTGCACACTGCTGGCTCATATTTAGCTGGCTGTCCACTAAGACTCCAAGACCTCTCTTACAGTTACTGCTATTGAGCCTGGTTTCATCCATTCTATATGTGTACTTTTGGTTTTTCTTGCTTAAGTGTAGGACTTTACTTTTCTCTACACTGAATTTCATTTTGTTAGATACGGCCCAGTGTTCTAGTCTGTCAAGATTCATGTGGATCTTGAGCCTATCTTCTTCTTACCTGTAATGCTAAGTATATTTTGTTACCCATGATTTTCTGAAAACCTTATAATTAACTGAATTCATGCATCAAGCAGTAAGCCCAACCGAGGAAATCTAATCTTTGTGAATGGGTGAATTGGGTTAATTTGAAATTTGAGGAGTGAAATTTGCTTGGCTGGGTAAGATTTCAACTTCTATTTGGACTTTGCAATTAAGCTTATCTCCAAATGGTCTTTGTAATAAACCTTATCTCCAAATGGTCTTTGTAATAAACCTTATCTCCAAATGGTTAATAAGTAAAGAGCCAGCAATTTATCTGGCATCCTTTGATCAGCAGCACACAATAGACTTTATTCAAGGTCAAGTTTGTTAATCTATGCCAATACAGCCTTACGCAGCCACTAGACAAAAGGACTACTAAGTCTGAAAATTCTAGAATCTTTATGTCACGCAAAGTATGTTTGAGCAAGATTGCTAGATGATCATTAACTCTTTGATGTCATCTATTGCTCATCAAGAATTTTACAGCCCAGTTGTGGGAATCACAGTTAGAGCCACATTTTTTAGAAGTCTTAAATATCTATCTTCAGATAAAGTTGCTCTTCACATGAACAATCTTCATTCCAACTAGGAGACATATGTCAGGCATGAGTTAATGACCTAGAAAATCATAACTGATCTGAAGGAATGCATACTACATGCAAAAGTACATTTGGGCTGGGTTAGTTCAGATCTTTTGGGCTGACGGAAATGAGGCCATTAGCACTGCAATCACCCTAAATATCATAATATCCGGCTGGCTGGTTGAGTCACCTACCGACTCAACTATTCCAACAATGAATGAATGCCCTTTCATAACAGATGCCTCTGCCAACTGCAAGAAAGTCTGGCTTTGCAGATCAATAATGGTGATCCTTGTTTTTGGTAAAACATCAGCTTTCGTACTGAACAGATACTCAAAAAACCCTTACCTGAACAGACTTGTCTAGGAATTTCAGGAAAAATCAAAACCATCACTCACATATTGTAATTTTTACAGAGGTCTATGGAACTCATTCATTTCATCCATCTTGCAACAACACTGAGAGAGAACTTTTGCATACAAAGTTCTTAATTTCTGATCTCAAGGACAGTATCACCAATATTGGGTTAATTTTTCATGGAAGCAGTTCAAGCATCCATGATTACCATATTCTTATTGGTCTTTATATAGTTTCATATCTTATTCTAGATGGATTATTGATCACAATAAACATCGTAGGTAATACGGAGCTAGAAGGAAGCTTCAGTTCTTGTTCATAATGACCGACCAATTTACAGGCTTTAGTCATAACATAGTACAATGGATTCATATACAGGGTGGACCAAAAGCCAGGTGTCATAGACAGAGTATTATATGCATGTATTAAATATCACAATCGATTACCATTTTCTTCTAAATGCTTCCTAACTAGTGTTAGGATGATAAATGGCTTTTGAAAATTCCTAAGTATGGTAACATGAAAAAAATACCAATAAAACATATTGTGATGGCCTATAGAAGCTGACTTTTGGCTAACCATGTATTTTCTCCAAAAGCAAACTGATCACATTATGGCATAGCAGAATCAGCAAATCAGGCTATTATGGTTTGTAAATCATGATTTTTGCCTTAGCATGGTGTACAAAGTACAAACTAGTTAAAAGAATCTGGTTTATCACATTATGCTTGAAAAGTATCCTTGAAAATATACAAATGACTAAAAGTATCAATTATTTGTGTTTTTTCAGTAGGATTTTTTAGCTATTTAAATAAGGAGGTTTTACTATCACATCGTTCCAAAATAAAACATTATAGTTTTAAAAATGAATTCTTAGAATGAACTGCAAAAAGCTACCATTTTCTCTGCCCCAGAAATCTGAAGAATCATTAAGCTTTGTCTCAAGAACATATGATTGCTGGGTCTCCTGGCATAATATCAAATGCATGCAATCTATCATATCAATAATATATAAATATATTAAGGGAAGGGAAGCTTGCTAAGTACTCAACAGTCTGCTATACCCAACAACCTATCTGCCTGGTTAAAGACAACTTACGGATTCCTTGATGATTCAATTCTAGGAAGAGTGCAAGAATGGCCAAGGTGTGTCCCTGTCTAAATTTTAAATATTGGCTTGAAGGGGCATTGCCATTTCCCCAGCCAATGAGGTGTAAGTCCAAACACAATCAGGAGAAAATGGGCTGATCCTTGAAAAACTGAACTTGTTTTACTGCTCAGCTTGATGGTTTATGTCATTTGCAGACAAGGTGTGGGAGAAGGAGAGTTAGCCTAAAGTCAATAAGTACCCATAAATGGACTAAGTCCAACTGCTCTTGAATTTCGTTAGTCCTTATCTTATGCCAAGATAATGCTCACTGTTAGTTGAATAGATTATTGTGCATAGACAAGATTACTGATAAATCAGTTGAATCGGAACTTCATATATGGTCCTGGTCTTTTATGTCTGACATAAGGGCAGATGCAAGTCCAGTGTAGAACAAGGAAGGGAAGCCATTAAAAAAGAAGATAAGATATCACCTACATATTTTTCAGTGATATTTTTGAGTGGGAACTATTACTCACTGGATATTCTTATAACTATCTTTCTACAATACACACACTAATCCTTTATTTAAATCAGTGTTAATTCTGAGTTTGCACTGAAACCTAAACTGGACACTGCACAATTTTCTAGATTAAAATGAGGTTGACTTATGGTTAGTACTTTAGGGCAACTTAGTCAGTGGCAAGTCCTATTTCATTCCATGGCATTTATTCCCAAGAACCTTAATGTGGAGCTCTGTTCCAAAAGCTTTTTCAACCAGGTGGACTTCCAGTCTATACTGGGACAACTGTTTCCCAATTTCCCAGCCAGCAAGGCAAGTGATCATGTACACTCTTGGAGTTTGGGCCTCAACATATCTGGAGGGCTGCTTTATTGAGGGAAGATTCTAAGTTAATGTAAATTAATGAAGTTAATGTTATTTACTTTTGAAAGACAAGTGAAGGATTGTAGTGTTATAATATTGGCATCCTTCAGTCTCAAAAGACTATGGTATCGTGCTCTGAAAAGAGGTCCTAAAACAGCATCTAGTGTGGCTAAAAAGGCCAATTCGAGAGGGGCAATACCTTCCACACTGAAGACAGATAGTCTGCCTCCTGTCCAGCCCCCAGATCTCACTGGTTCTGGGACTGCCTCTTTGCCTCAGCCTGCTGAACCAGTGTCTCTTCGAATTAGAGAAGGCCATGCTGCATCTTTAGCCTCCAAGCTGAATGATCAGAGGTCAAGATTTCCCAGCTGTTAATGTCCATTCCCAAGGCCTTTAGATCTTAGTGTTATCTAAACATTAGATTGTAGTGTTATAGCACATTCATATGTTATACCGAACCATGTTTTTGTTAACACACAGTTTTCTGGCTAAGTCAGAATTGTCTGGCTAAGTCAGAATTGTCTAATACAGCCTTAAATTGTAAATCCCAATTGATGCAAATACTACTAGGGTTCAGCCACACCATTAAACCAATATGTTGGTTTATTAGATTGTAGGATTCAGAGCAAAGTCTGTGGTTGTTCCCATGGCTCAAGACTGGGTGTTTTGTGGACTGCCTTTTCCAAAATGTTTCTGTCTATTCTATTTGAAAGGGAGTACTGGCTGTGGGTTTTTATCAAATGACACAAGAAAAGAAGGTCCAATAGTGGGTCTTCCATCACAGTTCTCCTCTTCTGGGGTAGCTTCAGGGGTGGGATTCTGCCAGTTCTCACCTATTCCATAGAACCAGTTGTAAACATTCTAAGCAGTTCAGAGAACCGGTTGTTAGAAGAAATTACTGGCCTAATCCTGTAAGGAAGGCAGGAAGGAAACATTCTGGTGTTGCTTACAGAAACTGCCTCTCCGTTAACTCTTATTACATTCTTGGCAGGACTAGACTTCCTGTCTCAGGAACTTCTCTGGAGTTTTTTTCTCCCCCTTTACTGGTACTTTGCTTGTGTGGAGTGACCATTTAAAGTTACAATGGCACTGAAAAAAGTGACTTATGACCATTTTTCACACTTGCAACTGATGCAGCATCCCCACAGTCATGAGAGGCCAGGGGAGGAGATGCGTGCCTCGATGTGAGTGATATTGAGTTGGCCACACCCAGCCAATAACATAACCACCAAGCCATGTCCACCCAGTCACATGACCACCAAGCCACACCCACCACTTAAGCCACGCCCACAGAACCGGTTGTTAAAAATTTTGAATCCCACTCCTGGGTAGCTTTTGTCCTCTGACACAAAGACAGTTGCCCTCCCTTTGTGCACTTCTAGAAAGAAGTGAAAACATAGTTGTGCTAGAAGGCCCTTGGAAGGGATGTGGTGGCTCAGTGCCTAAGACACTGAGTTTGTTGATCAGAAAGGTCGGCAGTTCAGTGGTTCGAATCCCTAGCGCTGTGTAATGGAGTAAGCTCCCGTTACTTGTCCCAGCTTCTGCCAACCTAGCAGTTTAAAAGCATGTAAAAATGCAAGTAGAAAAATAGCGACCCCTTTACTGGGAAGGTAACAGCATTCCACACAACTTCAGTGTTTAGTCATGCCGGCCACACGACCAGGAGATGTCTTTGGACAGTGCTGGCTCTTCAGCTTTGTAACGGAGATAAGCAACACCCGCCAGAACCGGAAACGAGTAGCACATATGTGCGAGGGGAACTTTTTCCTTTTACCTTTAGAAGGCCCTTGGGGATTAACGGCAACCAAGAGTGCCAAATTCTATCAAATGAATCTTAGCTGATGGCTTTTACTATTTAATGTAGCAGCCAATTAGATTGGAGTTCCTATTTTAATTACTTAATTGTTTTTGCATTACATTTTATATAAGAGCTGCTAAATAAAATAGTAGGCAAATTTCATAAACAAAGCACAGGTGGTCCTCGACTTACGACCACATTCGGGTCCAGAATTTCTAAGTGCTAAGCAAGGTGGTTGTTCAGTGAGTTGGGCACCGTTTTATGTTCTTTTTTTCTCATGGTTGATAAGTGAATCATGTGGTCATTAAATGAGTCTGGATTCCTCCACTGATTTTGTTCGTTGGAAGCCATTTGGAAAGATCGCGAATGGCAAATCTATGATCCCAGAACACTGCAACCATTGTAAATACATGCCGGTTGCCAAGCACCCAAATTCTGATCAGATGATCATGAGGATGCTGCAATGATCATAAGGACTGATCACTTCTTCTAGTGCTGTTCAGACTTCAAAAGTTCATGAACAAATGGTTGTAACTCGAAGATTACCTGTACTAGACTCAAAACTCTAGGTTTTCAATTTCAGTAAGCATTTATTCACACTAAGTAATATTAGCAGGGGTGGGCTGCTGTGGGTTTGCAGGGATTCGGGAGAGCCCCAGCTAAGATTCTGTGTAGTTCAGAGAACCCCCAAATCCCACTCCTGGCTGGCCCCGCCCACCCCTCCCCTCCCAAGAGTCTCCATGTGGCCTGTTTTAGATGCAGGTAAGTGCAGAGCATGCACAGAGGCTCAGAGAGGGCGAAAAACAGACTTCCTGGAAGTTTGGGAAGGCCAGAAATGCGCCTGTTTCAAGCTTCCAGAGAGCCTCTGGAGCCCAGGGAGGCTGTTTTTGTCTTCCCAGAAGCTCAAGGAAAGCCTCCAGAGCCCGGGGAGAGCAAAAATGCCCCTTCCCACTGTGGTGCAGGAGGCCAACTAGGCCATGCCCACCATGGCCATGCCCACCCAGCAACCAGGCAGAGAACTCATTGCTAAAATTTTTGAAGCCCACCCCTGAATATTAGCCATGTAAGTATTTATTCAAACTGAAGTATATTAGCCATGATGGGTATGTGAAACTTGAAGAATTAAAGATGAACCAATTTGAAGGATTGAATTGAATTCTTTATTGTCATTGTACGTATATACATAGTACACATACAACGAAATTCACTTAACACCCAGAGACCAGAGTCAACATGCACTCACATATAACGATCCCCAAACACCTCCCGCCCACCAAAATTCCCCGCCTCCCAAAAACGCACAAACATCCACACAACAGACCAAGTAATACTGTCCAACACCTCAGTGATGGTGGTTCTTAAGTTCATTGTTAAGTGCAATTGTAGCTCTGGGATAAAAAAAAAACTATTCAAAAAATATGTGGTCCAAGTTTTAATTGTTCTGTATCTTCTGCCAGAAGGCAACAGTTCACAAAGATTGTAAGCAGGATGGGAAGAGTCTCTGAGAATGTTGTGTGACTTCCTCAAACAGCGAGATGCGGAGATGTTGTCCAGGGCTGGTAGCTGGAGCCCAGTGATATTCTGGGCAGTTTTAATGATTCTCTGTAGAACTTTTTTGTCCACTACAGAGCTGCTCCCATACCATACAAGATTAAGAATGAAGATTGATGAACCTCATGGCCACATGATCAATATTTAGATGTTTGGCAGTTGACTCATATTTATGATGGTTGCAATGTCCTGGAGTCATATGATCACCTTTTGCCACCTTCTGTCATGAAAAGTTAATGAGGAAGTCAGATTCACTTAACAAGTGTGTCACTAACGGCTGCAGTGATTCACTTAACAATTGTAGAAAGAAAGGTCATAACATGGGGCAAAATCCACTTAATTGTCTGCCTTAGCAAGAGAAATATTGGGCTCAGTTGTGGTCCTAAGGCAAGGACTATCTGTACTGCAATGGCTTAGTCTATGGGCTAAAACCAAACTTCTTTGTTGTTGTTGGGTTTCTTTTTTTGTGGTAGTGGGGTGATGAACTCCAAAAAGCAATAAGAGCAGGAGAAATATTTAATGTAATTTAGTTTAAAAAAAACTTGAGCAATTTCCCAGCTTGTTCAGGGATTGCATGCAACCTCAAAGAGATAAATCCATTGTGATTTCTCAGCAGGGGTGGCCTTCAAAAATTTTAGCAAAGGGTTCTCTATCCAGTTGCTGGGTGGGCGTGGCCATGGTGGGCGTGGCCTAGTCAGCCTCCTGCACCACGGCCGGGGGGGTTGCCCTCCCCAGGTTCTGGAGGTTTTCTTCAAGTCTCCAGGAGGACAAAAACAGCCTCCCCAGGCTCCGGAGGGTCTCTCCAGAGGGCCCATTTCTGGCCTTCCTGAACTTCCAGGAGGCCTGTTTTTCGCCCTTCCTGAGCCTCCAAG